CAATTTTCCTCCAATTTTCCAGCCTCCTTTCTCTGAGCTGAATTCTACTTTAAATATGATATGTTCAGCGTATGACTTAAACAAACAGGGAGATGAAATGCAGCCTTGCCTGACCCTTTTTTGCCAATTGGAAACCACTCTCTTTCTCCGTATTCTGTCCTGATGGTAACCTCTTGTCTTTTGTATACGTTATTCATTAGGACAATCAAATGTTATGGCACACTTAATTCTTTAAGAGTGATCCATAGTTTTTTGCGATCTATGCAAACATGCCCATAGCCAGACACAAGATTATTATAGCAGTGCTGCAATTTCACATCTGGCCATAGAGATATAGCCAGATGGATCGGAAATTCCACCCACCATCCATGAAGGACAAATGTAGAGGATTTCAGGGGCTGCTCAGTAAGTTGGGGGGAATTTTGAGTGCTGCAGAGGGAGAGAAAGAATATCAATCCCCACAGGGCCAACCCAAAAGAGTCAACAAAAAGTGTATGGGAAAATTATGTGTGCACAGGATGCTTGTCTCAGTCTGCTTTTCTCCACGATTCAATCAGATGAGCAATAAAATCCATACACTTACCAATATTGTGGCATAGCCACATCCAAATGGCTCGTGCCTTCTCCAGATGGCTCTTGGCCTCCTCAGTAATCAATGGAACAATGGTTTGGATGGATGTCGGACCTGGTCTGGGTTTCAGCTAGTACAGACAGAGGGGCAGGGTTTTGGACAATCAGCAGAAGTGCATTTCCTAAGATAGGGAACAATTTTTGTACCCCCATTGTCTTTCATATTTGTTTGCATTTGTAGAGAGCAACCTTCTCCAAATGGTCTACCTCTAGCATCCATCATTCCTAGCTGCTATGGCCATAGTGTCCAACACACACTAGTGGTTTTCATATTGGTTTTAATCCTAGATGCCTTAAAGAAGCAACCCAAGTTTTGCTGTTAAGTAAAACTGACCTAGTCAATTCCAGCTTATGGCAAGCCTATCACAGGGTCCTCTTAGTAATATTTCTTCCAAGGAGAATTGCAATTTTCCTTTCTCTGAAACTATGACTTGCCCAAAGCAGGGTATTTCCATGGCTAACACCCAAACCGACACCCAAACTACTATGGGTGCATCTACACTGTAAGAATAATGCAGTTGGACACCACCTTAAGTGCTGTATTTCCATGCTATGGAAACCTGGGATTTGCAGTTTTACAAGGTCTTTAACCTTGTAAGCAAAAGAGGATTGATGCCTCATCAAACTACAAATTCCAGGATTCTGTGGGATGAAGTCATGGCAGTTAAAGTGGTGTCACACAGCATTGTTTCTACAGTGTAGATGCACCTGACACCACATTGGCTGGCTGCTGTCCAATGTGCTGAGTCCTATTTCTCAAAACAGGGTCAGAACCTTGGATAGCACCATCAAGGTTCAGAATCTCTCCCCCCCCCCCAACATGAAAGCTACCAGTGCCAACATCTGAGAAGCCAAAGGTTGGGGAAAGCTGACCTAGTGACATCTTGGTGACCGGATCAGGCCTAGGATGGAGTAAGGCATTTCCTTTCCTGCCGCAGCTGGCTGGAGGAGCACACAGGCAGGACTGAAAGGCAACAATCACTAGTGATATAAATTTATCTCTTTATTCTTTCCATCCCTAAAGAGAGAGAGGAAGAAATGCTAGAATTCAAAGATATAGCCATGTTAGTCTGTAGAATCAGTATGTAGAGATATCTTATAGCACCTTTGAGACTAACTGAAAGAAAGAAGTTGGCATCATAAGCTTTCATAGACTTCAGTCTACTTCCTCAGATGCTTTTGGAAGAAACAGGAAGAAATACTGTTACTCTTCATGCTTCTCTGTGGAGTGTGAGATATTTGAATCCCTCACAGACAAGCAAATAATTCCTAACAAATTTCCAAAGAATAAGGGCTATAAAACACTCAGCTGGCTTTCCCTCCCTAACTGTTCTTGCAGTTCGTGGTGTGAACCATAAAACTTGGTCTTCAGTGTCTAACAAGGAAGGATGGCCTGTGTTGATCTTTACAATGGAATTCCTCTCTCTCCCCCTCTCCTCCTGCAGCTCAGGGGTGTAATTCAAATTGCCTTGACTGAGATTCACACAATTAAAATGAATGACTGAGGCACTCTTACTTTTATAACTCAAGTAACCCCCCCAAAAAAACCCCAAAACCATGTGTTGAACATCGCATTTTTCACTGAAGTGCCCGCCCCATTGCTTCTTTTGCAAATGAAGTGTCCCCAAATTTTCACACCTCAGTTGAGCAGGTGGCAAACGACAGAACTCCTAAATATTTGAGCAGAGTACTGAGAAAACAAAAATCCTGTATGTTTAATGAACAGCAACAAGCTTTTATCACATCCCTAACAGTTGCCTCTGGTTTTGCCTTTTACATCCAATGGCACAATATCTCTAAACATGGAAGTGGTGGTTGTTGCTCAGGGAGGCTGGTGTGGCAGAGGGCAGGGCCACCAGAAGCAAAACAGAGGGTTCAGTGGTAGAGAAGGTAATGCCACCCAGCTTCCTAAAACCTCACCTCTAGAGCACCCATTGTTAGTTGATAAGGGGCTTGGAGGTCATATGCCCTAGTGGTTAGAGGTTCTTCCAAGGAGCTGAACTGGTTTTGAGAGGATATGGTCCAACACCTTGGATAGATCCTTTTAAATTCAGGCTGAAGCCCGGAGAAGGTTTGCCACTCTATCGATATCAGAGTCACCTGCCACTGAGCAGTTGGGCACTGCCAATCTGCTAAAGAGTAGACCCACCTGGAACTAAGGCGATTTGCCCTACAACCTCAGCCCTACGTGCAATTGAGACAGCCTTAAATCTCTGATTCAAAGCTTCGGTCCATTACTATGGGAGATCCCCAGAAGCTCTAGTTGGAAGGGTTGTTGTCAGACCCTTCAGATATGATAAGGATGAATATTATTTTACCCACCTGCTTGCTCACATGAAGAACGTGGTTGTCAATCTGTCTGAAAACCTCTGGGTCAGGGAAAAGGTCTCTCCATGTTTTTCTCAGAGTTGTTCCAGGTCTGGTGGAACTGGGGGGCCAACATCTTCCTTTTGTGCATCCAACCCCCTCTTTGGAAGATCTCGGGTGAGAATCCAACATCTTCTGTTGCTCCTCAATGGCTTTTTTGGAGTCTGATACCCGTGGAGCCGCTTTGTTGTTACTGTCATCAGCTTTCTTGGCCCAAAACAGAAATACATCCTTATGCAGGATATCTTTGGAGGCATTTGTGGTCATTTTGGAAGGCAAGATTTCTTGGGGTTCTTGTCTGAAGTGATTCCATTGCTTGCTCCTCCTGTTGCGATCAGTGCGTTTTTCACAAGGGTTCCCCACAGGCCAGCGGTGGAGACCTTCAGAAGGGATTCCTTCCTCGAGAACATTGCCATTGCAGAGATCTGTCATATGGCTCTCTTGAGCAAGAGACAAAATGGCATCCCCATGTGGTGATGTCATTTCCCCCTTCTTGTTCAAATTCTTTACATGTCCGACTCTTTTCATGTCAGGACACCGACACTGGAAATTGATGTTTGCTGATGATGGGGTCATCATCATGTCCTTCTTGGGTTGGGAGAATTTGATGGGGCTGTTGTCTGGCTTCATTCTTGCCAACTGCGAATGGGATAGGATAGAATCATAGAATTGGAAGGGACTCCAAGGGTCATGTAGTCTGACTTCACCCTCCACCTGCGCAGGCACCCACTGAGAGGTGAGCATCCAACCACCTCTAGAAAAATCCAACCACCTCCAGAAAAGGGGAATTGACTCCATTGTCAGGGAGCTTTGACCATCAATAACTTCTTCCTAATGTTTAGCCTTATAATTTTGAAGCAGACCAAAACAAGGTCATTCTGTCTTTCACATGGCAGTTCATCAGATACTTACAGATGCCAATGTGTGCATTTCTCACTTAATCTCCACCTCTGCTAACAAACATGAGGTTCTCCTCATGTTCTACTGCTATGGCATCAAGTATGGGGACCTTCTAGATGCCCTCATGGTTCCTGTGTGAACATTATTTGTCTCATCTCCCCACTGGACACCACCACCCTTGATTAACTGCTGCCAGCAGAGACACCAAGTGTCTGAACTCAAGTGACCAAATAACTTCTATGCAGCATTCTAAGAAGCACATGTGCATAATGCAAAATAATTTATGCAACAGATGCTCAACATCATGTTAATAATTACTTATTTAAAACATCTAAATCCTGATTGGCCCTTTCTAACTGTAACTCACATTTCTGACTCTGACTAACTTTGACACTCCTCTCTCTCTCTCTAACTGACCCGAGTCAAACTAATCTGTCTCTGACCCAAGCTAACTCTCCTAACATCTCTAACCCCTATTCCTAACCATCTCTCTCTGACTAACTATCACTCAGGCATCTGACTTTTTAACATCCAATCTACCAATCACCAGTGACTCCTACCGTTTCATATTCTCACCCCTCCCAACAGATTATTACAGATTACCTTATTCCCTATTTATCGGATTTAATAATAATTACCTTATTATATACAGTTGCCCCTCCCAATTTGCAGGGATCAGTTTTGGACGGCCGCTCACTAATATTAGAGCTCCATTGAAACTAATGGTGCGCGTGGCCATGGTACGCATGCAGGGATGTGCGCAGGCACACACAGCCATTTAAAACACAGGCACTTGTCCCTCTCCGTGAAGAGCGAGACTGTGGACTCGAAGTCCACGAACGGGGAGGGACAACTGTATACCATACATGGCATCATATGCATACTGTATTTTACCTTAATTATTAATATCTCTAGTAAAGCCACAACATTATAAACATAAGTCCATAGTATCA